TACTTTATTTCTTCCTTTTTAATTACATTTGTTGATTTTTTTATTTATTTATTAATTTTTTAATATTCGGCATGCAGTGAGGAGTCTGCTTCTGAAACTGTGAATTAAATATGTCATTTTAAGAGGAAGAAAGCCAAGTGGCTGATACAACAGCCTAACTTTAATATCTCTGGTTAACAAAACACTTGCCTAAAGCAAAGCCAAAGCACCCCACAGGAGTTCTCTTTTCAGTGGGAATTTGTTAGAATTATTTATTAAATTTTTTAAAAAATTTTGCACTTTTATGATTGGATTGGACAAAAGTCATGGACAAAAGTCAGCACCAGATACTTTTTGCTTTAGTTGTAAAATTTGAAAACAAATGATGAAGAAACCAAAATAAATAAATGACTCTATTTTATGAAATTGCAGTGTAATGGGAACCAGACTCCTATCCAAACGAGCCTCCAGATACAGTCCGTGCCTGCTTTGAAACTGTAATCACTGTCTGGCTATGTGTGCAGGACACACAGGAGCATGTCTGGCCTGTGAGATAATGGCTTTGGATTTGCAACATGGCCCAGCTCTCCTGAGCTCTCCCCTCCACCCAGACCCACCTCAGCTCTCCCTGCCCCAGCCACTGCAGTGCCTGAACTGATGGCACAGATTTTGTGAAATCTGGGGGGGGGGGAGGGTCGTTTGGTGGGAGGTATGGAACAGCAGTGTTGTCCAGCTGTAAAACTGTTTCTAATCAGTTTTTAGTAATGAGTCAAGGAAATGTAAGCATTAGATATGTTTGGGTTTTAATTAGTTTGCTTGCTGGAAATCCTTTGCTTGTTAATCTGTGAAAAATTACAGCTGTCAACTAAAACTTAGGCAAGAATCCTCTATAACAGTTTTTGGAAGTGATTCTTCTGAGGATGCCCAAACTTAGATTTAAGCTCCTAAGCACCTGAAGGTGAGGATGTTGACCACTGGGTGAAATGTAACAGGACAGGCTGAGTTCCCAGGACAGGTCTGCTGAGTTCTTGTGACAGGTCCTGCTTTACATCAGGAGGTGAACCACTTGGTTATATCCAGGGTACACCCTCACTTGAAAGAGAGAGTAACTAATGCTGTAAGGCTACTGGCTTATCACAGATTTGTTTAACAAGTCTAGCAACTGTACACCAGTTTCCTCTGTAAAACAAAAAAAGCCTACACTAAGACCACTTATTTCCTTTCCCCTCCCTTTTATGTAGCTGTAATCCTGTTTACTGCAAGTGCTTCAGAAACGCTAAATGGGGGTTGGAAATATGTGAGCAGATGCTCAGAAGTGTTTGGCTTTTTGCTGTTCCTTCTGTCACATCTTTTTACCAGATGCTTTTATGTCTGCACTAAGCAGAGTTCATCCTCTTGTGTAAATTGACTGAACACCACTTGCAAACAAAATTTGAAAGTTAATTGACTTAAATAGATTCCTTGAATACACTCTCAGTGGTGCAAGTCCAGTTGACTACCAAGTCATACCAACAGAGTAAGTTAGAAAGTGTGTGGAAGTAATACAGAACCCTGTGTAAAACTCCTCCTTTTCTCTGCTAGTGTTTAATTATTGGAGGTGGCCCATGTGGCTTGCGGACTGCCATAGAACTTGCCTTCCTGGGAGCCAAAGTCGTCGTCGTGGAGAAGCGGGACACTTTTTCAAGAAACAATGTGTTGCACCTCTGGCCATTTACCATCCACGACCTCCGGGGACTGGGAGCAAAGAAATTTTATGGAAAATTCTGTGCAGGATCTATTGATCACATCAGTAAGTATCTGAGGGTGTGGGTGCTGTTCTGGTAAGAGGCTGCCAAGAGCAGGAGATTAATGGAGAGTTTCTCAGTTTGACAGAAAGTTCATCTGCCTTAAACGTGCTAGTGCCTGTGTGCACACACACAGAGGAAAAAAAATGGCCTCATTTAAGCAAAATGGCAGTAGAACAAGTTGCAGTCTTATGGAAGCAGCTTTTTTGTTAGTCTGGACTTGTTAAACAGTAGGTTTTGATTATGAAGTGTGAAGAATATTGATATTCATTCTAGTATTTTCAAGGTAGACACAACTCTAGTCTGAGGAAAATATGCGAAAGTGGGCTAATTTAGAGGGAAGTACGATGTAAAATCTTGTATCCTAAAATGGTCAGCATATTGGTTAGCAGATCCTTCAAATATCAAGAGGGAAAGCTCTACAAAAGTATGCTAAGCAACTCAACTGAAATGAGTTTTACCCACAAGATTGTGCTGCAAGAGGAAAAGGAGACGGAAGAGAACAACATCCTGTGGTGGTTGCTACATTTGCATTCATCACAGTGTAGGAAATAATACTGCTTCAGGCTTGTGCTAACAATGAATATCAGTTCAGTAGCATGCTGGGAGCAGCTGTGATTGCTTACTTATTAAATAATACACCTTTGTTACTTGCTGTCTGCAGGTATTCGACAGCTTCAACTTATCCTCTTCAAAGTCGCACTTATACTGGGCGTTGAAATCCATGTGAATCTAGAATTCGTGAAAGTCCTGGAGCCTCCTGAAGATCAAGAAAACCAAAGTATTGCTTCTCATACTGTAGTTCTGTTCGCAGTAACTTCTTTTTATGTGGGGCATTATGTGAAGTCATTCAAGGTAGTTGAATTCTGTTTAAGGAAACGGGAGTTTTTTTGCCCTTCTTGTTCAGCAATCTTTGCTCTCTGCAGTTGTAGGCGTGATAAGTATCGTGGAGACAGAGCACTTGTAATTCCTAAAATATGACCCAGGCTGAGAAGCTGAGGTTTTGCACTATGCCTTCTGGCATGTGTTTGAGGCTTTGTAGGGAGTCTGGTGTGGCTTCTTGGTATCTTCTTGCAAAAACAAATTTTGATTGATAATATAAATATTGAGGATGGATTAAGCGCCCGAGGCCTCATTTTGCTTTCACATTTGATATAACTCCCACTGGCACATTGAGTCTTATCAACATTCTTATGCAAGATTTTTAAACAAAATAGAGAGAGATTTCTCATTCTTTTTTTTCTATTTTTAAAAAAATATTAATATTTAGGGTGTAGTAGCAATAGAATATTTTAAAGTTTTACTTCAATTGAAATACTGTGCTATCTCTTAAAAGGATCATAAGTGACAGTAGAAAAAAATGTTTTAAGTAGTTGAAGTATATATAACTTTAAAATATGGACAATACTAACACATTCACACAATCAGCATTGTGTTAATGCAAAAGTTAAATTGTGCTTTGTGAGTATGCTTCCATTTAACTTCTATTTAGAAGACAATTAAAAGCATTGACGATGGAATGCTGTTTTTCTTCTTTTAATATCCAGCTCTTCCTAGCTGTAACTACATGTAAGGTACTGCCCTGATAAGGTTATTTATGTGAGAATGAAGTGCTTAAGCATGCTCTTGTGGTATGGGTCTGAGAGGAAGTTTAGTGCAGCAGGTGATCCAGACAAAGGCTTCCTTTTTTTTTATTGTCAGTGTACAAGCTTGACACCTTGCTAATACAGCTTGAGTGTAGCTTTGACTGCAGCAGAACTTCCCTCCATCAGGCCAAGGCAGAATTCAATGAGAAGTACATGGTTTATTCTAGTGACCTTTCTTCAGACTCTGAAATCCCTTCTCCATTGTGTTACTGAAGAATTAATCAATATCATTTGTGTTTTCAGAAACAGGCTGGAGGGCTGAATTTCTCCCCATGGATCACCCTTTGTCAGAGTATGAATTTGATGTTATTATTGGAGCGGATGGCCGCAGGAACACCTTAGAAGGTGGGTGTTGTGAATGTGTGCTTTTATGCTTATGTATGGTCTTTAGGGGATCTTGAAAGACCTGGGAGTCAGAGGAGAACACAGAGCAACAGGTTACCTTTCAATCCATTGATGTCTGCGTGGAAACTATTATTTTGTGTGGTATCTTTTTCTTTTGTTGTTAAGTTGTAGCTCAACTACAATTTAAAATTGTTAAAATGAAGACATTAAAGGTCGTTACTGCTTCTGAGCTCTGTGTGTCTGCATTGCCTACAGAATGCATCACAGTGCCATTGGGCTTGCTTCAAGGTTAAGTAATTATATTGTGATTTAACTTCAAGGAGGCTGACAAGATACATGTCAGGAACTGCATAGCCTTTGCTGTTGTGCTGTAAATTTGCCCTGTATGTTTGAACTAATGACCAAAGGGTGATTACCAGGTATTTAGTGAAGTCATCAGAGGTATCAGTGGTTTTGTAGAGGAGATTGAGCTTCAGAAACAATTACTTTGGAAACAATACCAACAGATAATAAATAACTCTAAAGTGTGTGGGAGGAGAGGGGGTAAATGCTTCATGAACTTGAGTCACTGTTGAGAATTCAGACCACCTGAGCTGTTTTTCTTATCCAGACACTGGATAAGCTGCTCCTGTATCACAGGAACAAACCTGTTACTTAATGATATATTTCCCTTTTAGGTTTGCTTGTATCCATGCTAATTTCTGTTCCCTAAGTACACTGTTTCCTTTTTCTATATTAGCTTCATAGATTGTCTACTTATTCTTTTATCTGCCAACCACAATATGGTTACAGTTAATTCCTTATAATACTCTATTGGAAATTTCCCTACCCTGTTGTCCAGCTGTGTCCCATAAATGGCTGTTTAAGTAGTCAAATACCAGCAAAGTGAAATTATTCTTACCTCAGCTGTAGACTATTGAGAAGTTAATGGTTATCATCATACCAGGAACTAAGGGAGTATTTGGTGTACTGAAGATACATACAGAAGCTGTTACTGTCATATTAAATCTATCCCAATGGAATAGCAAGAGCATATCAGGAAGCATAGAGACAGAAATTTGTATTTCTTCTCATAAAATTCTCTCGAGTCATCTGCAAGTGGCTAAAAATATTCTAAACACCCTTTGTCCTACTTGATAATTTAATTATGGATAAGGGGAACATACAGATGGAAAAACTTAAATGTTTAATTGCAACAGTGTGGCTTAGTGGGCTTTTTTTTTGTTGTGAAAAGAGGAAGAAAAGGTGGAGCCAGAGAGCAAGGAACTTCAGTCAATCTCACCTTGGAAATATAACAGTTAAACTACTGAATATTTTTCAACCCCAAATACTTTTGAAAAATCTCATTAGCTGGTGGTGTGTGCACCTAAGCACTGCTACAGGGGTTTCTGTTTTTCAGATCTTTCTCTGCTGCTTTTGACTGCTGATCTCTTGCATCTTTTTTCATGAGCTGTTTACCACCTATGTAGCAAATACCTAATTTGCTATTTAGCATATTAAAAATTCTCAGTCCACTAAATTTGATCTATTCTATTTCCAGACATTGCCAAAAAAATTTGTTTTACTTTAGTCATGATTTTCCCTTCTTCCCATAATTCCTCTCCAGACTTTTTTTTTTTTTAAATGAGACTTTATCTTGAATGCAGTACAGCTCCAATTTTGCAGCTGAAAATGGGGAAAAAAGACTCTTTGCATTCAAGGGAATTTTGGAGGAATGATGGAATGTACTGATGGTGTGTTGTTTGATGAAGTGTAGGACTAGATGTAGGAAAGGCACTGAGCTGCTCCCTCTCTGAAGTCCAGTGTGAATTTCCAGTGGTTTTAATTCTTTCTCTTTGCTTACCAGGTTTCAGGAGGAAGGAGTTTCGTGGAAAGCTGGCCATAGCCATCACTGCCAATTTTATAAACAGAAATACAACTGCAGAAGCCAAGGTAGAAGAAATTAGTGGAGTTGCTTTTATCTTCAATCAGAAGTTCTTCCAGGACCTTAAAGAGGAAACGGGTGGGTGCATCCTCATTTTTTCCACTACCAAATACAAGAGTCAGCAGAGGCCACCCTCCTATTCTTGATAACATCAATTTAAATATTCTGCATAAAAAAATTCCTAGTGATAAAATGTTGTTGATGTCAGAATCTTGCAGATGGAGGTGTCCATTTATGGTACAGTGGGATATTTTTTTAGCTGAGATGTTGCCACATCATAGCTTGTTTTAATGTTTAAATTTTTCTCCGCTGTAAAAATGTCTGCTATGTTGAACAAATTTAAAAGAGCATTTTCAGGGTCCAGAGATTTCCCTTAAGACACAGTTTGTTTTGTTTCTATCTGTTCACATACTGAACAGCTTAAAAACTTTGAAAAAAGCTCTGCCCTTTTGGGAGGAGTTTATTCTTGCCTTTTGATGTGTAGAGCTGATAAACTGAGAATTTATCTGCTGTAAATACTAAAAATATAAACTGTGAAATACTTCTTAATGGAAAGAGGTTTCAGAGTAGTTGCACCCACTGTCAATACAAGCAGTTCTGTTCTTGATTTACAGCTGATTTTTTTTATTATTATTATTGAAAACAAAAGTCCTGCTCAGACCAAATGCCAGAGCCGTAGCAAGCTGAAAAGCAGTTTGTTCCCTTGGCACCCAATTCTACCTCAGAAGGCTGATAATGCTGTAGTTAACTGGCTGTTCCATGAAAGAAAGCTGAATAACTTTGATTGTGCTGAGAGAAACTCCTGTGGGGTGAGGCTGATCTCCTCTCATGTTTTGTTTTATAGCATTTTATCCACTAATACTTCACCCCAGCAGGGAAAGCGAAAGCATCCCAAGAAGGAAAGGCACCTGTGGGAATCACTCACATGTTGTTAGTAAATGACACAGGCAGTGCCCTGCACTTGGTAACAAATGTATTGTCTCTTTTCAGGGATTGACCTGGAGAACATTGTTTACTATAAAGATAGCACTCATTATTTTGTGATGACAGCAAAAAAGCAGAGTCTTCTGGACAAAGGAGTGATTATTAACGTATGTAAAAATGCTGGCTAAACCTTATTTTATTTACATGGTGCAGAATAAGTGTGAACATCTGCATAGATGTTGTGGCATGTTATAGAGGGTGTTTATAGACTTAATTGCTTCATTAAAGCTCAGGTCACTTGGATCTTACTCTGACTTCTTTAAAATTCGCTTTTACCTTCAGTCAACACAAAGTTTCTATAGAGAACTGAAAACAATACTCTCTAAATTTATCAGTTCCAAAACTGGCTGAAATGGGATCTTGACTCACCTTGGAAATACGTGGTGTGATCATTGCACCAGAAAATAAAAACCTCATTTATTTAAAGGTGAACTTAGCACAGCTATATCCAGTTTTATCAGGCAAATAAGGAAGCATAAAAACCTACCCCAGGCTAAATTGCAAATTCTCAAGTGGGTGAAATATGGTAGAAGGAGGCTTATAAACACAATGGCATGAACTTTCAGAGGAACTTGGGTTTTGAGGTCTTTTTTTCCCTTTTTTTTTCTTTTTTTCTTCTTCTGTAAGATGTAGGGGTTTATTTTCTTTTGTTTCTAGAAAGTGTTATGGCACCACTTAAATTTGTCTTCCTGGAAACTCAAGAGAGGTTAATTTTTCTTGCAAAGTAAAACAGTGCCAAAACAGTCGAGTGTAATTTCCTGAAGGAAGTACTTGTGGGGAACTATCAGAAGGTTTCTTGGCTTTCTGGTGGGACCACTTAGCTCAGTGCCATAATTCCCTGCCCTTTTGAAGGCCAGGGGCTCCCAGGGCAGAGCAGCTGTCCATGACCAGCCAGGGTGGGAGTGGGGAGGGGCTGAAGCCCTTGTGGGGAGTGGGTGATGAGCCCTGGGGTTGTAGGGCTGGTGTGGGGGCAGTCCCAGGAGATCTGTGGGGAGTTTGGAGAAGAGGAGCACTGGCTGTGGCTCATCAGAGCTGTTTTCCTGACCTACTCAGGTCTGAGTGGAAAAAAAAACCCCAATCCAGTCTGTCTGAAACAACTGGGCTAATAGCGGTTCTGTGGTATCATCCTGCGATTAGGGGTCTCATCCGTGATTAAGCTGTAAATAGAAACTGCCTTATTAATAATCACTGGCTTTAAGTAGGATGACCTGCAAAGGCAGGGTCCTTCAGCACTCTGGGGGAAAAAAAAAAAAAAAGAAAGCCACAGGCCAAAACAGCACAACAGAGAAGTTTGAATGTGGTGTCATTACTGAGATGTTAAGTCAAACCTTGAGGCTGAGCCCCACATGTTGTGTCATCAGTATTTCTACTCTCATGTGGTTTGCACATGTGCAAAAAAGCATTGCAGAGGTGATGATAACATCTTTTGATGGGAGGGAAGTAATGATATGAAAATAACACATAACCAAGGAACTGGGAGATGCTATAATATCCTGTTGCCAATAATGCTCCTTGTTCAGTGTTAGCATGGAGATTTCCTGTTTTGGGGTTAGTACAGTAACCTATGTTTGTGTATCAGCTTTCTGGAGGAGATGACAAGTCTTATTTGATTCTTTATGGTGTGAGTTGTGTGGTTCCCACTCGTGCTGTAAGACTGCAAGGTTGCAATTCAGGAGGACAGTGGATTATCTCATCCTACATGCTTCTCTCCTTTGCAGGACTCCATTGATACAGAGTTGCTGCTCTGCGGAGAAAACGTTAACCAGAACAATTTGCTGTCCTACGCCAGAGAAGCTGCTGACTTTGCAACCAATTACCAGCTGCCTTCCTTGGATTTTGCAATTAATCACTATGGCCAACCAGATGTAGCAATGTTTGATTTTACTTCCATGTATGCCTCTGAAAATGCTGCACTAGTGAGAGAGAGGCACAGACATCAGCTTCTAGTGGCACTTGTTGGAGATAGTTTGCTTGAGGTACCTTGGAATGTGTTCCAAGTAGTCCATGTTTTTTTCGCTCTTATTTCCTTAATAAGAAGGAAATCTCCAACCATTCAATCTACCCTCCTGATCAAAACAAAACATCCTCTCTTGCATGTCCTTAAACAGTGGTATCTTCTTTGGAATAGACTTTTTTTCCCCTTTTTCTTTTCTCCTTTTTTATGCCGTAGTTTGTCGTAGCTAATGCTTGGCTGGCAGCCTCTGGCTGAGATCCCATTTCGCTTTATGCAAGTTGTATTTCTGTCTGAAAACTGTGAGCTCTGTGTCCTCAGCTTGGGTGCATGGCATAATTTTCCTGACTGCCATTATGGAGAAAAACTTGATCCAAATTATTGTTGCAGGCTCTTTGCCTTAATATGTTCTCTTTTTTTTCTTTCTGAAGTGAAAAGTGTATGTTGCTATGTCCTTTTCTTTTTTTTTTTTAACCCATGCTGACAGCATGAAGCATTTGAAGAGTCCAAAGCAAAATTAGGAGATGAGAAGGGCATAATTTTTTTCCTTTTTTTTTTCTTTGACTAATTCTTGAGTCTTTTTTGTTTTTTCCTCAGCTTAAACTTTTTGAGGTTAAGAATTTTGTTTTTAAATAGAGAAGTTAAAAAAGTGAAAGAAGCAATCTTTTTCATTTCATTCTCAGAGGAGAGATACTGCAGGCATTGTCTGTGCTGTATTTTAACTCTTTCTGGGCTATTTTTCTAAGACAGTATGAAACCCTAGACCCCAAATTCGCATTGCATGTTACTTTTGTAATAAGACCTTAAGAAATACAAGGAATTAAAGTGTAAATGCTTCTTACAGCCCTTCTGGCCGATGGGTACTGGCTGTGCAAGAGGCTTCCTGGCCGCTTTTGACACTGCGTGGATGGTGCGGAGCTGGGCTCAAGGGAAACCCCCCCTGGAGATCCTTGCTGAACGGTGAGTACTGCTCTTGTCTTCTCCATCGTTCCCAGTGTGTTCAAGAGTCTTGGTAGAAGGCAGTGGATTTCACAATGGCATCAGGAGAAATATTATTCTTCCCTGTAGTGGCGCTGGGATGAAATCATCCGTTCCTTAAAATTACAGAACAATTTACAGTGATAACCAGCTGTTGCTCTGTGAGCTTCTGCACACTAATACAGAGACCTGGCAGTGTGCAGCACATGGTTTAAATCACTTACTTAAATCACTAGTCATTAGAATTAAGTGTGATTCTTAAGGACGTAAACGAAAGATACTTTGTATCAAAAAAACACCCCCTCCAACCATCTCAGCACCTGTTTTTTTTTGTTCTAAAAAAAATACTTAAAGAACTCTAAATAAATTCTTCAACATTAGCAGCTTTCATGGTTGGTCTCTGTGATTTAAACTCTGCAGTTTGGCTTAGTAGCCCTGATATTCTCTTTAGGCTAATAAATGTGTGGCAAAAGAGAATTACTGTAGTGCTGCATCATAAGCTTCTCTGTGTAATGTCTCTTTGACTAGAGCAAAAAAAAATTCTGTAATTAAGGACACCAGCAATCCTGGTGTCACCATGGTCTGATGGTTGAATTTGCTGACTTTGGTCGTGCTGGCAGCTACCTTGCTCTGCTACAGCTGCCCAGGCTGTTCTGGGGCAGATACGTAATAGTCATGGTTGTGGTAATGTGAGTAGGAGCATTACTAACTACAGCACTCTGGGAAGTTTTAAGATAGGAGCCTGTGGGATGACTCAAGCAGGGCATAGACCCAAATGGAAAATTGAGCACCATAGTAAAAAAAGCTGTGGTGGTTATTGCAGGATGACAGGATTTAGTGCTGTTATGTGGTAAAGAAGTTACTCCTTGGGTGGATGGTAAAACAAAACCAGATGACTGGGTGATGTAATCTTTTTTTTTTTTTTTTGTCCCTCTTCTTTTTCTTGGTCACTTCCTGCCTCAGGAAAATGTGGGCATAAGTTCTAAGAGCCTCTCTTTTTGTTGTCCTTTTTCTGTCTGGCATCCTTCTGCTGAGTGGGGATAAGAAATGGGATGGATGCATTATGCATTTAGTGCATGACATTTGTCCTGGCAGAACCAAAATAAGGTGTAGGTAGCTGCAAAAAAAACCAAACAAAACAACCTCTTTTCATATAATGAATATTTATTTTAATATATAACTCTTGCATACTTTTTCCTCTATAAGAGAGAGCATTTATCGACTCTTGCCTCAGACGACCCCTGAAAACATTAATAAGAACTTTGACCAGTATACCATTGACCCAGGAACAAGATACCCAAACTTGAACTCGAGCTGCGTTCGACCTCATCAGGTCAGTACATAAAAGGCTTGCTTGTGAAATCAGTTCTTTTTTTGCCTAGGATAAATAGAGCTGCAAGTAGTGTGCAAACAAAATCTTCAGGAGACTCCTTAATTTAGAACCTGCTGCTGCTAAGGTTAACCTGGAAAGAAAACCCTTATTTTCTCTCCAAGCAATTCTAACATTATGCTGCTAATTGCTTTTCCTTGTAGGTGAGGCAGTTATATGTCACCAACGAGTTACAGCAGTGTCCTCTTGAAAGAGTGAGCTCCATCAGAAGATCGGTGAATCTCTCCAGACATGGTATGTGGCACCTCACGTTTGCCGCGGCTTAACGTTTGTAGCCTTCTGAGCGTGCGTGAGCTGATTGAAATGTTTGGTCTCCTGTGTAACTGCAGAGTCAGACATTCGACCCAACAAGCTCTTGACGTGGTGTCAGAAGCAGACGGAAGGATACCGGAACGTTAACGTCACGGACCTCACTACCTCCTGGAAGAGCGGCCTTGCCTTGTGCGCGATTATCCATCGCTTCAGGCCTGACCTCATGTAAGTGACATCTGCAGACCTCGTTGGGTGTGTAGGGTACATGAAGCACTTACTAAAGTGTGGTGCAAGACCGACCAGAACAACACTGATGCTCTGCAGTCCCCTTCTGTGGGTGTTTTCTGCAAGGAAATGCACACCATTGCCAGGGTTGGGGGGTGGAGAGGGTGGGGTTGGTTTTGCTTTGTTTTTTCTGTATGTCCTTGCATGCCATTTAAAAAGAAATATATATGCTTTCAAAGAGCTGGGAAGGCTTTGAACCTTATGATTTATCGTGTTTGTGGGAGTCATGTGTCTATTTAAGATGAAATTTGTGGTGCTTGGAGAATGTGAAGAGCTGCATTCCCAGGTCCCTGGAGAAAGGGTTTTAGTGTACGTTTAAAACCACAACCATAATGGCACTGTCATGAGTTACAGAAATACCTGGGTGAGCCTTGGATGAGCCATCCTCTGTTTTGTAGTGGTAGGTGTGACAATCATGTAGGGAAACGTTGGACTATGGAGGTGGGTTTTGCACAACTCTGTCCAGAAGAGCACAGTGCCCTTTCATGTGTGCTATGCAGCAAGGGCTGGCCCCTGGAGATTAACAGCCTAGTGACTGAATGTAAGCCAGCATTCCCCTTTTGACAGTGTTTCTGGGGTCCTAAGGCTACAAGACCCAACTTCTTACGTGTGAATATTTTGTAAGGTCCCTCAGTTAGATACGAGAGGGTCAGTGTGTAACAGGTGTCAGGAAATGGCAATTGCTGGCACTGCTTGGTGCAGTCGGTGGGGTGATTCTCCTCTCTCTTCACCAATCTCCAACATGCAGTGGGTGCATTCTCTTGCCTTCCTACACAGACTTAGGAGTCAAAAATGAATTATTGTTAACCTCCCTTTATTGTGGATAAATGGAAGGAATGACTGAGCTCTTTTATGAGGTGTGTTAAGTTGGAAAAAATAGGAGTGGTACCCAGGGTGCTAGTTTGTACAGTTTTGCCAGAGGAAGAGCTGAGATTTTAATGATAAGATTTTTTTTTTTTTTGCCTTGGGTTAGTTTTAAAAAATTAAAATTATGGATGTTTTTGTGACTGTAATGGGGGGGAAAGGATATAGAAAGCAAAGTAATTTTTGCTGTCTGTGTAAAACTTGTCTTTTTAAGCACTGCTCTCTACAAAGTCGATAAATTTATCTTCCTGAGCTAACAGACCTCCTGCTGTTTAATGCTGTGTTTGGATCTTGTTGGCTTTTTGTTTTAAATGAGCCTGCTGAAGGACTTGGCCAGATGAAAGCCAGGCAGGCAAGAGAGGAGGCTGCCTGTGGACTGTGGGCAGGGCTGGAGTGGAGGGCTGCCCACAGCCCCCTGGCTCCAGAAATGGGCAGTGGGTGGGTGAGGGAAGAGGAGAAATTCTTTGGCGATTCAAAAACTCACATTTGTTTATGAGGAGAAAGGAACTACCCTGTGTGGAGCTTTGTAATTTATTCACATGTTTATTTTAATCATGAATTTTGGAAGCTGTTCAAGAGATCAGAGTCTTAGAATAGGTCCCATAGAAAATGGATTAGAGAGTGGATAGCAGAGTTCCAGATGTGTGATGTACTTACTTAGTGCACAGCTAAATTCAGTTATGACCTGGGCAGTAGGTCCTTGCTCAAACTGTGTGTGTTAGTACCTTAAAAAAAAAAAAAAAGAAAGGTTAGTTGCTGTGCATGTGTGTGCACACACATGTAACAATTTTTTTTTTGTAGAATGCCAGCCTAAATTTATTCCTCCTGGCTTTGGTGATTTATAGAACTAATTGCAACTGAGAAGTCAGTTGCTGACGGATGAAATTTGTAGTAGTGCAGCTGTGTTTGGAGAGGAAAAAGGTTTCTTAGCACTTCTGAGGAGGAATTGCATTTCTTCATAAATGAGAGAATCCTTTTTTGTGGGACTACATCAAGATACAATTCAGTGAAAAAGCCTTTAAATTACATTCTGGCAAAGCCATTATTTGTAACATGATTTGTGTGAGGCTCTTACATTTGGCATTGTGCAGACTCTCTAGCTTTGGCCTAGTGAAATGCCTGTGCCTTCATTGCTGGTGCTGTTCTGTGCCTCTTCCATGGGCAAGGGAGCACTGCATGTTCCTGAGGGGAGCAGAGAAGAAACCAGTGCTGTGTTGTCCCTGCAGTGACTTTGATGCTCTGAACGAAGAGGATGTTGTCAAGAACAACCAGCTGGCGTTCGATGTTGCCGAGCAGGAGTTTGGGATCCCCCCCGTGACCACGGGGAAGGAAGTGGGGTCGGCCGGGGAGCCCGACAAGCTCAGCATGGTCATGTACCTCTCCAAGTTTTACGAGCTGTTCCGGGGCACACCTCTGCAGGCCGTAGGTAAGCCAGACCCAGGCTGCTCCTAATTCTTGCAGATTTGGGAAGCAGGAGCACTTCATCCAGGCTGCAGGCGAGCCCTGCTCTCGAGCCAAGAGTCCTTTCCCAGCTGAGCCATTCTGGCACGCGAGCGTGCCTGCTTCTGTCTGCAATAGTCACCCTGGGCTTATGACAGGAAAGGGGAAAACCTTGATTGAAGACCAAGGTTTTGTGGGTCCTTGGTGGTTTCAGAGAATAAGAGCAGCTGGATAACTGCTGCTTGACATCATGAAGTTCATGTATCAGGCTGTTAGTGTGACTCCCTGGTAAGGATGACTGCCCACAGCACATTCACGCCCGTGTGTTTCTCTTTCTTTTTTAGAAAGTCACCCTACGTTGTACACATTTACTTTTATTTGCCTGTGTTTCTTATATATAATTGCTACTAGCACTCAACTGGAAAGTTTTGGCTTAATCAAAATAACTTAAAAATAAATCTAAGTAAATAATGTTGTTTTTTGAACAGATGCTGGTGAGAAGCAAAATGGAGAAAATAATGATCTTGGTTCAGAAAAATCATCAAGCTCCCTCTCTAATAATTATTTAAATTTAACTTTACCAAGAAAACGAGTACCAAAGGTAAGTTGTAAAGGGAGAGTTGCTCTATAAATTATTCTTTGTTGAAAAGATGAAAGTAAGCTGTCAGGCTCAGAAATAAGGGGTTTATATGTATACTACTATTAAAAGACCTGTAAATTGAGATTTTTTTGAGTAAGATTTCACGGTATTCAAAACACACGTGCACACTCAGTCATTATGATGTTTGTAAGGATAAAACTGAAGCCTTGTCAGTGTGAAATGGCTGAAGCATTAATAATGGTCCCAGTTAAGCTTCCTCTGTAAATGCAAAATTTTGAATCTCAGTGAGAGTTTGGATGTACTTGGGGAGAATTCATATCCATTGTTAACACCAATGTTTGTTGCTGGTAGAAGTGAGAGGAGGATGATGTTTTATTTGGTGTGTTTGAGTTGCTGTTTTCAACTTGAAGTATTTGAGATCTCAGCTCCCTTATGCCTATTGACATATTTTATTTTTGGAGAATTTTCAAAAGTTGCTTTTAGGAGGTTTTGTGCAATGCTAGATACAAAGTTGTTGGTTGGGGGTTTTTTTGTTTTGTTTAGGGGCTTTGGGTTTGTTGGTTTTTTTTGAGATGGGAAAGTCTGGAATTTTCCTAGGCTGTTTCTACCTTTAAGAAAGACAGTACTGTAGCTCTGTATTCCTAAATATACGGCCATTCTGTTATATATCAGTTCAAATAATCACTGGTATACTAGGTTGGGAGGGAGTGCTGTTTTTTAACAAAAGCAGTGATTTAAGCACTTTGTGGATGCTATTTCAAGGTTCTGAAGTGAAACTTTCAACTCTTTCAGAAGTCACCTGCAACAGTGGGCAGGTCGACTAGTGTGGCTCTGAGATAATGATCTCTTAGTCATACCTGTGTACTTTTCTCTCTTGGTCACTTATTAATAAAAATTTATTGGCATGCTCTGTTATGTCCCTGTATTATAAGAAACATCCATGCCCATACATGCTATGATTAAAGACTCCAGAACCTTGAAGGATTATGGAGACCTGAGTTAATACTCTCTGAAATGGGACTACATGCAGTGAGAGAATTGTCTGTGTCTTTGAATGGATTATAGCTTCAGAAGTTTTATATGATTTAATTTTAGGGGAGTCCTAATAAAATTAGTTAGTAATAAACAGTTTCACCTTCTGCCTCTTCCTTAGCTCAGTTGTCTTCTTAAAGGAGACCTTAAGGGATTTGCTTTCACAGCCAAGCCTATCTTCATTTTAACTTCAGCTTAAGTGGGAGTGTCTGCACAGCCCAGCTCAGAGGCAGCAGTACCTCAAGTCCAGCTGGTCTAGAGGAGCAGCACAAAGTAGAGAACAGCATGGACTCCTCCACCAAAAGGAAGTTAACTTCTGCATGTTTCCAAAACACAGATATTAATGCAAAACTGTTCCAGGTTTTGAGTTTCCTGGGCTAGCTAAAAACCTTGTATTGACTACAATGATTCTCAAGTTCTTTCTCTGGTTGTTCTTGTTTGTGAATTTTTTGTTTTGGGGTCTTTGGTTTTTGGGGTTTTTTTGTTTGTTTTGGTGGTTTTTAACTGTATTGCTTCATTTACACCTATTGATAGACCCTTAAGTTTCACCTGGGAAAGTATGCATTTCCTCCTTCTTTTGGAATTCAGTGTCCTAGTAAACGTTCAGATGTACATGTATGTACTGCATTCCTCAGTATTTAAATACATTGCTTTCTAAATTTGTTGCTGTCATCTTGTAGAAATGTGATTTCTATTTTTTCACCCGGAGAACTACTCCGGAATTTCGAGATATTTCCTAGACTGACTTTTGTCTTGAATATTTTCTCTCCATAAACACATTTTCAAAACCTGTGGACACACAATTTCCTGGTAGTGTCGTACATCCCTGTTAGGAAATAATTTTTCCCTGTCACCCACATACACACAAACCCAAGTGACATGTTTCTCAGATAACCAAGCAGTGAGAAACCAAACAGGCAAAATAACATTTGCTTTTTCTTGTGGGTGACTTATTTGGAAAGAAAACCTCTTTCATGACCACAGTGTTGTTGTTTTTCCATGAGTTATTTGCAGAAATAAATAGACTTTCAGCAGTGGGGAGAGCTTTCCATTACTAAGCCATGCAGCCTCTGACTAACCTCCCATCATGAAATAAGCCTTCTGTCACAGCAGAGCTGCAGTTCTTGGCTGCACATGAAAGCACGAGGTGATTTGCTTGACGGGCCCCTCTGGTTTCCCACTACAGGGGCTTGTTAACAATGAGAAGTGGAAGTGATATTTCCCAAATCAGCCTGGGGAGCAAGGCTGACAAGACATTTTGTAGGAGGTTTTGCAGCTCTGTCACGGTTAGGGTGTGAAACCAAGCAGGATGGGTCAGGGTACTTGGGTTAGGACAGAGACTTGAGTGCCAGAACTGTCTGAAACTACCTGGGAAATAAAGCTCCTTGGAAAGCAACTTCTTGAGTCAAGAGTTTGACTGTGGCTTCAGTTTTATGGTTCTTTCCCCTGCAAAAGGTGGTGCTGAACATTATCCATTAGATATATATAGTATATGTTCTATTCAGGCTGTAGGAGAGCACAATGTTGCTTACTGAACTTTCCACAGCATCTAGTTTGTCCTTTTATTTGGCTGGAAGTGGGTTTCTTATCTGGGTGCAGGCTGTGGGAGACCAGGAAGTGGAGCCTGGAGCTGGTGTAGCTGTTCTGGCAGCCTGTGCTGAGCTGGATCATGTTTTCCATTCTCCTCCGAGTGTCAGCCGGGCTGGAGAGGAACTGAGATTTCCTGTGCTCCAGACTAATAAACGAATGAAGGTGTTTACACAATACAGAGCACAGTCCTTTTGGAGTCTTGCTCGGCAATTAAATTGCTTTGTCTTTCACTTCTTTGTAAATATGTTAATGCGAGTCCTTTATGTAAGATTTTTGAAAGGCAGGATCTTGTTTGCTCCATTCACTCAGGCAAATTCTGCTTTTATGTGGTACAGGCTATTATGCAGAATACATTATGCTATTCTGTTGTTCACTCTTTTGTGAACTGATGACTGTAGGTAGTGTAAAGCTGGGTTGCTGAGAGCTGGTGCCTGAAAGACAGTGTACCAAAGCACACAAAGTAATCAAAATACTGTCATCTGATTCTCTTGGTGTTTGCCCAGAAGTTGTTTGGGATTACTTCTAGTCACTGCATAATGATTTATTACAAACAGTGTATATGTAAAGAGAAAGGTTGTGTTTTTTGATCTTGCTCTCTTTATTCCTTTTCAGTTTTTTTTAAGTTGATTGAGTAATCACTAAGTTACAGTGTGGGCAAATGCAAATCAGTGGAATATGATTTATTGTTCCTAAAGTATAACTTTTTGTACCAAATCTTTGAGACTCAATTTAACAAGAAGCAATATAAATTTCTAAGCATTGACTATTTTTCAAGTTCAGCCAGACTGAGTATGAAGTATTATTGATTTGTGTAATCTCTAATTGAGTAAAATAATTAAATATGTGCATAGCTCAAGCACAGAAGTCACTTTGGTTACTTAAGTACTGTACTGTTCAGCCATAGTTAGGGAGGTGAACCTTACAAGGGAGACAGACCTCTAAGGCAGACAGCAACTGCTCCAAAAAGAAAATAAGACTGTGCTATCTGCATGCAGATAGTTGGGTTAAGAGAAATGTGGGGACTATAGGGAAAAAGTGAGGGGTTCCTGGATTTTGTTACTTTTTTGGAAAGCAGTGTAGTCTAGAGAAAAATTCCCAGAATAACTGATGCTGTAGTACCTTTTTCGTCAAGGATGTGTAAGTGCTTTTTGAATTATAAACTATTCAGTACTGAAAAGAGGAAAAGGTAAACACCAGAGTTATGGAGCCTGTGTTCAACAAAGTGTTCAGGCATGTGTTCTCCCCCACTGGAGTCCAATGAGAGCTCCTAGTGAGGGGTTGTGGGACAGTTTTTACATACCTGATACCTGCCATGAGGGCCCGCTGGGCGAGGAGCGATCCCCCAAAGGCTGGCACTGCTCACCCGTGTGTGCCTGGTTTAACAGGGGCCAGGCCTCCCCTGCCTGGTTATGAAACTTGTTATCCTGGGAGGAACTGCTGGGGTAAACTCAGTAACTCCTGCAGTAATCCATGGAACTTGTTTTGGCTTTACCCTTTCAGGTTGAAGGGAAAACGGAAGAAAACGAGACTAACAAGAGACGTCGGAAAGGTCTCCTTGGTGTCTTTGAGGAGGTTGGTGTTCCGTGGGGTCCATTCATATCCCAGCTCCTTGATGAGCACCAGAGCTGAGGAAGCAGCAGGAGTTGAGGGGGACAGGGCCAGGTCTTCTCAAGTTTGGCAGGAACAGAAAGCCTCTCCCCTAAAACCTTGAATTTACTGTGGTGTGCACTAAATCATTTGATATGGAGGAGAGCATTAACTAAATTGCACTAGTTTTCATTCTGACACAAGGACACATGAGATATTGGGGTTTTTTCCTTTTCCTAACTCAGTTATTTAGACAAATTTTTGTTTCAGGAGTTTGCATTGCAGCTTGGTTTCTAACCCCTCTCTGATTAGTTACCTTTCTGACTGTTTTATCAATAGCAGCACTGATTAATGTTCCTTTTTACTGTACTCTGGGACCAAAGAAAATATTTTTTGGTGACTTTTACATACTAAACAGTGTCATTTTTAGTATACTGTAGACTGTATTTCCTTTTACTCTTGGCTGATAAGGATATTATCTCTTTCTCTCTCTTCATGAGTGTTGTAAGAAACCCAAGAAAAACATAGTTTTTTGTTTTCTTGCAGACTTCGAGCTTTTCAAGCCAAGGGACAAATGCTGGGAAAGCACAGAGTAATGGCAGAGAAGGAATGAACCAGAACAAAGTTAAATCAATGGCAACTCAGCTGTTGGCAAAGTTTGAAGAGAGTACTTCAAACACGATTTTGCGGAGACAGGTAGGTCATAGATGAACATGAAAGTAATCTCTGAAATTAAACCACAGTCCCTCCTTGTGAGGGTGATGCAGATTTCCAAGGAGAAAAAAAAAAGAATCTGTTACCTGTTTGAAGTGGGTTGCCTTTTTTAATACTTTATGCAAATGAAAAGTATTTCTCTCAATACTTGGAGAACAAGTATGACTAATATAGATTGACTAATGCATATTAATGTAATGGATCTGTTATATTGAAAAGTGCAGTGAAATTGCAATGTCCAGAAATCTCATGTAAGTCAGCCTGTAGGACTTCTGTGTTGTTTGGAAGTCTAAACTGGCTGCAAATGGTATTGCAGGTGACTTTTTTCCTATATCCTGTGAATAAAGGACACTACATATCCAGTGGTGTCTTTCTTTGTGGAAAATTTAGGAAGTGTAAGAAGGGAACCTAATCTTTTGCAACATGTGTCTGGCTGCTGTTTCCATTCCTAAAGTAGGCAAAATGAAATGTATTTGTGCATTCCACAGCATTTTCATGGTTTGTTTTTAGTGTGACTCGTGGTGTTTTAAAAATAATCCTGTGCTGCCGAGGTAGGGGTGAGAAGCTCAAAACCACACTTTGGCCAGAAATGATCTGAATCAGCTGAGTTTGGATCTGTCACCTGAAAGATCTGAAAGAAGGGGTGAGCAAGGTGTTGAGATTCTGACAAGGACGGCCTCTTTCTTAATTCTTTGTGCTTGGATCCATTTGCTTATGTAAATATTTAAGTCCTCCAGTAGTGTAGGCTCTAGAGATGTCCAGTGACTTTCTCAATCTGTGAACCACTGTTGTTTGCACTCTACCTGACTACTTGGCAATACCCTGAGCTTTGTGTGTATGTGGCCAGAGATTTGCTTGGCCATGGTGAAGGAAGCCTCGATGTGTTGCTTTTAATAATGAACTGTCCTAAAGAACACTGAATGGGCTCAATTTTAAGTATATCTTTGGTAGAAGAGACTAATAAAATGGGCGGGTGACAAAAATTTGCAAAATGTGTTGTTAAGCTCCATAATAATGTGCCTTTTAAAGCAACTTTTATTTCTTTCTGCCTCAAAAGGTCTTTGAATCCTATTTACTGTCTTCCTTTTTTTTTCTCTTCACTCTGTCTTTACAACTTTAAAAACGCTTTACAAGGAGGTAATAGATAGACCAGCCCTGCTTGCTTCTGACCCTCCTGCTAATCCTCGCTTTGCTAAACCTGTGGATCCAAGTCTTCTTCCACCTCAACCAAAAAGGCAGGTAGGAACTCATATGGGTAACACCTGACAAACACACCATTTGTCTTCCTGCTGGTAACTCAGTGTTATTGTGTAACTACAAGATAGACAAAACAGTATTTGTCTGTAGTCTGCATAGTTAACAGATATATTTAGCTGAGAACTGTGAAAACCACATTAAAAGTTTTAAGGCTATTTTACACCTGCTTGACCAGATGAGAAAACTATTTGAAAGTGTGGAAACCACCCTAAAAACATAAGTGTTGATTTCTGTGTTACCACATTTAGACTTCAAATTGTATAAATGTAATTACATAGCTACATTTAATGTGTGGGAAGACTACAGCAGTACCTGAAAATTTGTCTGTGCATGTACTCAATGCTTTGGGCTGTTGTAATGATAAGGCAAAGCGAGTGTTCCAGCCTGAGGAACCTGGCAAAAATGTCTAAGATGAAAGCTTGAGCCTTGAAAAGCTGATATCGATGGCCAAGTTTTTTATTCCTTTAAGTGGAGTTTGTGATAAGAATTTCTGCTGAAAGCTCTTCTGCAGCATCATATACATGGGGCAAATTTTTGAAGACATAGTCTAAATTTTTCTTTTACTACTTTCAGTGACAGCAAACTCATCTCAAACAGAATTGATGCTCACTTTACATTAGTTTTAAATGGAAGTCAACATCCTGTAGTGGTATTTCAAGAGTAGTGAAATGAGATCTGTATTGCATGTGGAAATCCACAGATCAGGAGCTACTTTATATTAAAATTCAAATTCAGAGACCTGTTCTGAACTCCTCAGAAAATGCCTTAATTCTGAAATACATTGTAGCTTGACTTGAGCCAGACTAGATTTAGAACTATGGCAAGAACTACTGTTGGTATTCTTATAATTTGATTTTAAGCTTAGTCTCAGGCAGATGTGATGCTACAAAAACCAACCCAATACCTTTTCTATAAACCCTAGAAGGAGATGTAGTTTCATCTTCTGCACTGGTGCTGTCTGGGTTATTCACAAAAACTAACACAAACCTGGAGAAGGATATCCTACATAAAATACGTGGGACTGATTTATTTTGGTGCATGTGCACAAGCATCAGAGCTGCAGTAGAAAGTGTGCAAAGAGTGATGTGAGAACACTTTATTTCTAGTTCTGTGCATGCCTGTGCTGCGCTTTCAGAAGCATCCTAAAAAGCTGCATATACTGCATGGTGATGCAGAAAGCAGATTTTTTTTCACTTCAAGTGTTTCCCAGTTTCAGGTGGTAGCTAGGAGTGAACACGAGGTCAGGGAACCCAAACAGTCTTTCAATGGTTCTGATCATATGGCCAGGAGAGCAAAGACTGTACAAAAACCAGATACCCAGCCCAGTCTGTCAGAAACCTCTGAAAATCTCGCATCTGCCTGTTCTGCTGCATTTGTACTTTCTGGAGTGCTTGAGCGTCTTCAGCACCTGGAGGAAAAAATGAAACAGGTGACAAGCAACTTCTTTTCCTTTCTGTCTCTTAACTGCATTTGATAACCTGTATACTGTGTTTTTGCTGGCTATACTGGCTTTTTCTCTGTTGACTTTAGCTTATATTAAGGCAATAAGAAGTCTTTCTACAAACTCGCTATATTCTGTTGATATATGTGGCATTAACTGAAATCTCTCTTTCTTTTCTTGGCTTTCCTTCCCTGGCTGTCACTGCAGAAAAGAGCTCAGACTATAGCAAATAGGGAATTCCATAAAAAGAATATTAAAGAGAAAGCAGCACATCTTGCCTCAATGTTTGGATACATGGAGTTTCCAAAGGTGAATATTAAGTTTTGCACCTGAAGAAATGCTGAGCTAGAAGACTTGTAAGAATTCATGGATGGAAAAATTTGCAATGGTTTTGGTTTTAACTTTCTTTCCATTTTGTGTGAATCTGAAAAGTAATGTGGATTCCACTGAAACTTGTAAAAAAGCATTGTTTAAATATTATTGCATAATTTAACTGAGGTAAAATACAATCTAAATCGTAAAACTAGTCAGAATACTTCAGCAGGAGAGAAATGTGTTAAAATAACCTATGTCTTATGCTTAAGCACACCCTGGTAGCTCAATTTCTAATCAGTTGGTGAGCAGCAGTGCTTAATTAGTGCACTCTGGCTTTTCCTGTGTTTCCTTATGCTTTCTCCCAGCTCTACCTTACCTTACATCCCACTGTGAATACTTTGATAAAAAAGTTGAGTACAATAATGTTGTTTACTATGAAGGTGCCATGATGATTTCCATGGGTCCTCACTGTGCAGAAATAGAAGAACAGAACTATAGTTGTTACCTTTATAGTTTCTTTGATGCATGACTGTGAACTTAACCGTTGCTAATGTCACTGTCTCTTGGATAACTCTCCTGTTTCTGCTTTACACAGAATAAGCTACCCACTAAAGGCTTACCCCATTCTCAGCCCCCAACTCCCTCTTGCCCTCCATCTCATCATTCAGCTGCTGCTGCTGCTTCATCATCTGTCGGTTCAGCTTCCTCTGCTGTTCCTTCTCGACAGGTACTCTATTAACAGATTTTTCCTGTTAAATCCAAACTTGTGCTAAAGCTGCTTGGATGGAAGGTGCTGCCAGCAAATCTGTTCTCTAGGTTGTAATTCACATTTAAATCAAACTTCACTTCATTTACTCTTGTTAATTCTGCATGTTTGTAAGAGAAATGTCATCAGCAGAAATAGCTCAGGTAAAAGCTGAAGAACAAAGCAAATAGTTAATGGGTTTTTGCTTCAATCCTGAAAATTTTGCATTGCTGCTTATTTTAAATGATCTGTTGTTGGATAGTACCACAGACCATGCTGGAGAAAGATCTTTGCATGGTAAAGCAAACTGGATGCTGTGGGGTTGGTTAGTTGTTCTTGGGTGGTATTTGTGTTTCTTTTCATAAGAATATCTATCTGGTCTCTAGTGGAGAACCTGCACGGTAATGGTTATTTTAACTAGAGGCCATGCCTTAGCATTGTATGAGCACTTACCAATACAAGCATTTTATTGTTGTTTGTTTAATTATTTGTACTTTAAACTTGCTTCTGCATGTTCATTGTTAAAATACAGTTCTTTGAAACAGCAAAGGAAACGTGCATACTCTGAATGGAAGAGATCCTCAGTTCTTTCTACTTATGCTTGATGTGAATGGGCTGTGGAAGTTAACATGACATTGGCTTCTAACAACCTTTGTTTTAGAAGGATTTTGATTGAATGAATTTTGACCTTTTTCAGCTTTTCAGGGCAGGTAAAGGCCCAGGTTTCCTTTCCTTTGACCACTTACTATGTAGCAGCAGTCTGGGAGCATTGTAGTATTGAGTAGGGTTGGTGTGGAAATAAAGGTGGAGACATCAAGTTTCCAGAAGTATTGAAGGTGACTGCTGTGACCGGTGCAGGTGCTGGGGCTCTGCTGCCTGGCACATGACCCAAGTGCTCTTCAGCAAAATCGGGTGCCACCTCCGTTTGCTGTGAGGAGGAGCAAAGCTGCCTCCTCTACCAGCTTTTGCTGCATTTAAGTAGCTGCACTTTTATGAAATAAGAATTCATAAGTATCATGAGTATTGCCCAACTTCAGGTAAGCCACAGCTGAAGGTATTTTCCCATCTGGTGGGTGTCTGGCAGGGTCATATAGTGGAATTGCTCTAGATCTTTTTAGGTTATTTTTACACCTTGTTGTTGATGCTGGTTGGAAATCAGGCTCACAGCCTCAGCAGTAACTGAGCAGGTAGATACTGAGCTGACTTGCAGTTTGCAAAGGGCACATTCCTCGGCTGAGATAGAGCTGTGTTGAAATGACTGCCTGGCTCTCATTCCCCAGGGAAATAGAGGCCAGACAGCCCTTCAAGGACACTGCAAGCTCAGCAGGTGACTTACAGCAATAATCTCTAATTCCCTTCAGCTTCAAAATAATTCCTTTGCCTGGATTTACCTCTTACTTTTTATGACCTAAGTGGTATAGCACGTGATGGGTTTTAAGCTAAGTAATGGTTTCCAAAATAGAGGTCTGATGCTTGTTGGATTTGGAGAGCTATTGTGACTCTGCAAAAAGACAAAAAAACCCACCAAATAACTCTTCCCCCCCAAACAACAAATAAACAAAATAAAAACCAACCAACCAAAAATCCAAACAAACAAACCAAACCCAAGCTATCTGAAAAACCTGAAAAAATATGAGAGCTAGGCTCTTAATCACATGGAAACTCTGTGACAATAATTGGGATTTTAATGTGTTTTCTTGGAGAACATTTGGCCTGACCAATCCTTTTTGGGTGTTTTAAAAACTGCATTTTGTTTGAAGTGCACTCACAGCCTTTTATGAGTTTACCATTGTATTTAAATGGTGTAGCAAGAGTTCTCTGTGACTTGATTTCACTCGGGCTGAGTTTACTTCAACTGAAAAATGCTCTCTCTAGGGCTACTAGCAGAAGGCAGCACAGCTGAAGCAAGAAAATCTAGTTTTGTCACTAGCACAGTAAATATATATGTTCATCTCATTGGTAAATATTTGACTGGTTAAGTAGGATTACATTTATTCTTTGGCAGATCTACATGCATGAACATCTTGATGCCTGCATATGCAGCTCCATAGGTTGCGCAGGCCCAAGTCCTCATTTGCACTGTGTGCATCTCTTATGTGTAAATGTGGTGCATTTTGGATGGCGTATTGGAGAATTTTAAAATAGCAGGTCTGATAATGATCAGCTAAACTTTTTCTCCTCCCGTTTGAGGCAGATGTGGCAATAGGAAGCTGATCCAAATGAACCCCAAGGCAGGATGGATTGCCCCCTAGGTAAACCCCTGTGACTTTTCTTACCAGGTGCCAGTGAGTACAAGTGATACTGTTGGTGCTGTCCTTGCCACAGGGGTAACTAAGAGTTTGCAGGGAAGGGGAGGTTGCCTGCCCTCTGTGCCCGCCTTCAGCACAGTAAGGGATGATAAACAGTCACCATGGGAAGAGAGATGTAGGTCAGGCTCGGGGAATGGGGATAGGGGACCCTTGAATAGAGAGGAACAGGATGCTGGGGAAGACCTGCAGACTGCAGCAGGACAAGTTTTGGAGCAGGGGGTGCCAATGTGCCACCCTGCTGCAGCCTTGACTTCATAACAAGCCATCTGGCCATGCCCTTCCATGGTCACATGGTTTTGTTTGTGTTTTATCTGTAAAGATTGCTCACTTTTCAGAACTTTCAGATTTATGAAAATTTTATCACACTGCTAAAATATAAACACTGACTAAATGTGAGGTGCTATATAAAAAAAATTGAAAAATATTTCTGATGCACAGCATGCATTTTCAAGTGCTCTGTGTGATATTTTAACAATATGTTTGGGCTTCTGCTGTGAATATGTACCAGTAACTACCTGTGTTTGTGTTATCTTGGAGAGGAGATTGTAGGACTCAGAATTTGTATTTCTGGTCTCTGTTCTGAGAGCTATCACTAGGTAAGTCTAGATTTCAGTATGAGAAAATGTTTGGGGATTGATAAGTCAAAGGAAGAGCTTGCTTGTGTCACTCCCAGTGTTTCTGCTTCTTCCCAGCAGAAAAGCAGAAGATAATAGAGGTCTTGAGTTTTATAAGACTTCATGATACATGACATATAAATATCAGCACCCTCCCATCCTTTAAATAGTTTGTACCATCATTTTAATTTCAAGGGAGTACTGAGGTTGTTACCAGTCATTGCACCTGCTGCATTTTCATTGGAACACTATTAGTTTGGGTGGCGTAGTTATTGAAAACCGTGGCTACGAAATCATACTGTCTCATTACAGAAACCTGTTATTAAGTCTAAGGCCTGAAAGGAACACTTGAAAAGGGGGCTATGGGACCATATTGCTTCTTTGAAGACATACAGTCATTATGACTTAGTAAGAATTAACTTCCGTATGCAAGATGCCAGTAATAATCAAAACTACCTTCTAGCTTTAATCACCTGTCAAAATTCACATAGCTAGAATTATGAATTATCATATGTTATATTACAGGCTGGGCTTTGGTCATTCCTGTTCTCTGTTTAAAGCTGGATTGACCTTCAGAAAACTGTTCATCTGAGCTTTGCATGATTGAATCCACACAGTATGATGTAAGAACTATGAAGTTTTTGCAATCAATAGGCTTTGCTCCCTGCAGAGTTTGTACCAACTACTTCCTTTCAGTGATGTGACTCTAATTATGAGCAGTAAGCAGGGCTTGGGTGTTTCCTACACACAGTAACTTATTACTCAAATGTTGTTTATCTCAGAAGGAAAATGTATGTAGCAGGTTATACAAAAAAATAAATAAATCACCCTCAAAGCAAAATAAGACCCGGAAAATCATTAAGGATATGAAAGAACAAAGGGAAAGCATTGCATTCTTTTGGAGGCAGAGAGCATATTTCCTTTGTTTTATGAAAATACTGCAGAGGCTTACTCCTCGGTTGGCTGTGGCATTCTAAATAATAGCACAGAGAAGTACAGAAGGCAGCTTTCTCTTTCCGTGTTAATAACCACCCTGATCAACCTGCTGAAAAGCTTTGGCAACGTGTCAGTGACAGGTCAAAAGTTTTAGTAAATCATAAACACTTGGGATTTTTGAGTGTTCTCTGATTGTGGACTGAAATTCACTGTGAATTTAAGAGTGAATTCACTCTTTAAGATTACTTTTCAGCAAAGGATTTAAAGCTGCTGGTATAAAGCTGCCTGGACTGTGAGCAGTAGCCTGTTACATGCAGATAGTGGGCCCCAGCATTACAAAATTGTGTGTGTGACTTCACGTACACCAGTAGCCTCAGGGGCAGTAAGGGCATGAGCAAAACACAAACTCCATTATGTGAATCCTGTTTCTAGGGTACCTGAGCAGCATCAGGCAGGCAGAGATCTGTGTGCTGTTGACCAAAGCGAAGCCATGTGAGAGCTGACAGGTTCTCTAAAGGAATGTGTGTAGATTTGGGGTCAGAGCCTCTCCTGCAGCTGGGGTTTATTACACACACACAACTAGACAGGATGAGGATATTATTGAAGTCCTTGTCCATAAGCAGAGTGAGGTTCAGAGGATACACAGAAGGGATTGCTTGGTGGTTGTGCTGTTGCTGTACAAGGGCAGGAAACATGAGCCTTGCAGGGCAGCACTGCTCTTGCACGTCCTGTCCCTCCCATTCTCATGTTTCTGATGGTGGCAGATGCTCGTGGGGCTGCCCTGGTGGATTCTCATTCTGCCCTGATATGTCTATTTTGTGACTGAGTGGCATTTGAATGGAACAGAATAGTTCAGTTGGAAGGGACATACAACAAACATCTCTTGCCTGACCAATTCAGGGCTGACCAAAAGTCAAAGCATGGTTTTAAGGGCATTGTCACGAAATTAAATTGAAATCCCATTTGTTTTTACTTGGAATGTGAATTCACATTAGTTACAAGGACATTTCCTTCTAATAACATTTTTAAAGTGTGTATAAATGTGCAATTTTCTTGTTTTGACTACTTTAATGTTGACATGGGTGGAGAACAGAAATCAGCCAACCTGATGAATTTTAAGGTGTAGTTCAAGCTCAAGGATACCTTTCTTAAAATTCAACTACTTGCACTTTAAGCACAACCTTGTTATTTAACTGATCTTTGAACACTTTCTTTTACATTTGACCATGTAGGTGAGAAGTTGTACATGGCTTGGAAGTTGCTCAGCATATTCAAAGGTGCAGAATTTGGGGAGGAAAATTTTTTTCTTCCATGATCTTAAACAATACAAATGAACATAGTTTTCTTGTAGTAGCAGGTAGCATTTCCTGTATTGGTTTATAATTTGATGTACCACTTAGGACAGCATTATGGTATGTAATTAGCAGTTTACTTTGCAGTTGTTACCCACAAGTTGTGCAGATACTGAATAACATTTGAAAGTCTTTTTATGTTATACAAAACCAAACAGTACAGAATTTTGTCCCTTAAGTGGCCCTTGTCATCTTAACATACATATTTTTTTATCTGCCTGGATATGAAGTTAATTATAAGAGCCCTCTCAAAAGATAAGGGGAGCTGTAAGGGGTTGGAAATGTTCCCTAAAACATTTTTTTAGCAAGAATATTTTTATCCATCTTACTTTCAGAAAATACACCCACAATACATTTTTAAACTTGATAGAAAATACTTTAAAATTGTTTTAAAGTATTGCAAATACCATTGCATTTATATTTTTCTCCTTTGTTCACGGTAACTTTCTGGTATTTTAAAACCTTCCCATTAGTAGGACTTGGGGTGGTGGCAGTAGACAAATCATTTCACTGAGAAGAGTGGAACTTACTTAAAATTTGGGCTCTGTGGGAGACAAATGGAGCATAAGAGATGAGATCATGGATTCTCAAGGGAGGAACAATGGCCTGACTTCAGAAGCAGAGCACTAAATCCCTGGCCCTACCAGGATGGCCCTTGCTGCATTTGGTACCAGAGAGACTGTGGCATCTTACATGGGCTATAAAGCTAAAATCCGAATCACTACAGAAAATTCAGTTTAGGGTAGAAAATATTTCTGTAAATCTGTGAAGTCTTCACAGTCTTGTTTTCCAGAAGCAGAGGACTAGAGTACCTGCCTACCTGCTGCCACTCATTGCACGCACATCTTTCTTCTTTTCCAGTCCCTGGGCACGTGTTTTGGCGGGGCAGCCTGGACCATGCAGTCAGTTCTCTGTCTACAATGTGTTTGGAGCCCCAACCTACGGAAGTGCAATCTCCTTGCAGGCCTAATTGATAAATTTGGTTAAACAGCCTAACATTCATGTAATAGTGTGATGAAGCAGATTAAAGGAGATGTCTTCCTTCCATGAGCATAGCTTCTCCAGTTTTCCCTGGCATTGAGTCACTGGGGAGAGGGTGAATGGTTGCTCTGTGGGCATCAACAAAACATTTCTGTGTGGGAAATTGGCACATATGTTCTCATAGAATGTTCCCTAAAATGCCATGGTTTGTGTACTGTTACTGTGAAGTTTAATTCCACCCCTATTCTGAAATATAACAACAATGTCCCAAGAAGCTGAAGTGAACGATAGGGTTGTTTTTTTGTTTTTTTTTTTAATCTGTCAGAATGTCCAGCCCAGATATCCAGGCAGTAGCTCCCAGCTCAGCCTTCCGTGGACACAGCAGGAGGCCTTGTGCTGCAGGAGCAGCATTTGCTCCCATCAGCTATTTCTCCATCACCTGGAGACTGGGAGAAGTCCATGGGCTGCACAGAGGCCCTTCTGTGGCACCAGCTGGACCACATTGGTCACGCATGAACGTGCTTGTGCTCTGCTAGACTTTCCCTCCGCTCTTTCTCCTGCCTCCCTTTATTGATGTTTGCATGTTTTCAAATCATTCTTGTCCTTTTTTTCTTTAAGTTCTTTTTCAAAGATAACTAAAGCTCTTCCTTCTATTCTTCATCTTCTCCCCTTTTCTGGTTAGACGACTGTAGGAAAGGTCTCACGTGCAATTGGAGCTGTGGCTGAAGTTCTTGTAAATCTGTATGTGAATGATCACAGACCCAAGCCACAGCTTGAACTGGTAAGACTAAACCCACAAAGAATCAATAACTTGACTGAAGAGGAGTGTTTCCAGAATGTCATCCATAGGCTCTGAAGCACCTTAAGTGTTATAAAAGGTCTTAGTCTAACACCTACTAAGGAATCAAGTGCATATTGGCAAAATATGCTGATGTGGGAATGTGCTGGAAATGTTGCTCACCGTGTCTTCTATTTATATTTTTAGCACTTGACTGTATGAATTAAAACTTCAGGAGGCTTTTATTAAGTGTAATTACTGTAGAATTAGTAACAGAAGACAATTACTAATCAGGGTGGCTTCTAAAGAAAGTTTTGTGCAGTACATGTTTATGCAGTTATTTTTAACACACAAATGCTGAATCACCATGCCTCATTTTGAAGAGGGCTGTTTTTCAATGCTGACACTGTTCTGTGTTGAATTCAGAAGCGATCTCTGGACAGAGCTACAGGTTCTTGCCCCACTCCTCACTCTCCATCTGCTGCCTCCACTGCTCAGAGCTGTAAGGTATTGGGAAGCAAAGTGACGTGTTGTGTTGTGGTGATGACACTTACTTACCAGTCAGCACTAAACTCAATTACTTCTGCTTCATTGTGACTATCTATTAACACCGTATTTTTAAAAACACATTTAAGAATGTATTTTTTCCCTTTGCATGGTTGCTTGTTTGGAAAGTGCCGTTCTCTGAAATGATCCATCACAGCAAAATGGATTGCTAATGGCAGATTTTGGAGTAGGATCCTCAACTTTTAAACACAAGACAGTGTGACAATGACAATTGTGACTTGCATTTCGCATTAAAAGGTTGTTCCAGGACCGCTTTTTGCTGGTAAATTAAAGACGAGTTGTGTGGACTGTGTGCTGCTGTCTGAATGTGCCTGGACTGTGCCAAGCCTGTGCCTCCTCCATCCATCCCACATGTGGTATCTCTCCTGTGGCAGCAGGGATGGTGGAAGGGGAGGGAGATGATGATGGAATGTGGTAGATGCAGCATGCTCATCTGTACCGACCTGTAACCAACCATAATACAATAATGCAAAGTAACATCCTCATACCTGCCTCTATTAAGTAAAGGGAAGCCCTTGGTAGCATCTAATCCGTTTATAATTTATTTTTCTGTACCTTTTGTGTGTATATCCAACAGAGGATGAGATTTGTGGCAGTTAGAGAACATTCATTACCAACCTAATTTCAACAAAAACTTTCAAAATAGTTTCAAGCTGTTAATATGGATCATGTTCTAAAGTCCAATGTGTTTAAAAAATGGTTTGTGGTAGGAAACAAATCAGTTTTTTAAAACTAAGCCCCAGCTTGGGCTGTAGTCTCAGGAGGAACATGGCTGAGAGGAGATGTCTGCAGAGATGTGAGTGGTAGTTTGGACACCAGGGCCGAAAACTGTCAGCTTTTCTCCCTGGACCTTAAAGAACAAGATTACGTTCTCCTCTAGAGTGTGTGTGAACTAGTCTTCAGGACATCTGTTTTCTTGACTCCACCTGTGTGTCAGTTGTTTCAGGATGGCCAGGTCTGCCTTCCCCTTCTTCTGAGAAACCCCAACTGAGCCAGGGTGGTGCAGGGTGACAAGTGAGCATCTGGGGGATGATGCTGCTCTTGTACCTGAGTAATCACAAAATGTTGGTGAAGTCCCAGAGGGAAACTGGATGCAAGTCCAGCACAGAAGTCACCCCTTAAAGTCCTTGTGATGCCTGATTTATTAGTTACTGCATAAACCTACAGAATTGCAGCAAACGAGTAGTAGAAAAAGCTGACCAACGCCTGTTGTAATTGTGTGTGGAGGGCGCTGTGTAACACTTCAAGCAGCGAACTCAGCTGCCCCCTTAATAAGAATTTATATCTGGGTGTAGTGCCACGGCTTTATGTGCTTTTCTGTTTTTATCTTTTGACAGGGTTCTCTGCGAAAAGAATTTCCTCAGTCTATTGGGGGGAGTGACATCTGTTATTTCTGCAAAAAACGGGTCTATGTGATGGAGCGGCTGAGTGCAGAAGGCCACTTCTTCCACAGGGAGTGCTTCAAGTGTGAAATATGTTCTACAACACTCCGGTTAGGAATTTATGCCTTTGATGTTGAAGAAGGTAATATAGGAGCTATTTAAGAATATTTTGAAATGTCCGAGTATTGATGCTTTTAGGGGACCTCGGGAAAAAGATCTGGCCCAGTAAGTCAGTCAGGAGGAGGTCTGCCAAGTATGTTCAGTTTGTGTCCATACTGATCTTTAAGTCCTTGTATTTACAGTCCTAGTCTTTCAAAAAAATTGAGTTATGATGGATCTGAGCTTTAAATGAAGAAATCCTCAGTGGAAAATGAGTTGAATGACCAAAATGCACTTTGTCCGATAACAGGTCAGGGTGAGGGGAGGAAAGGGTGATTTTTCTCCAACGATACAGTTATTCTTATATCTCATTTATAATTGGCCATTAAATAATGTGATCTATAAGGATAAGCCATAATAGTGGCAGATTTACATGGATGGAGGGACTATAGGTTATTTCTTTTAAGATGTTATGGCTCAGAAGTTGAAAGCAGTAGGACTGGCCAAGCACAATGTAATTTATTCCAGGCTGCTATAGAACAGAAGGTTCAGTTCTTGGGCACTCAGTCCCACCTAGAGCCTGGGGTTCAGAGATAAGGAGTTTTTATTTTGTTTTTCAGTTTAGAGAGGAATTATCAAACTTGGCACTTCAAAATGATTTGAGTAGATCTCAGTAGATCTCAGTATTAACCTGATCTCCTTCTGCAAAAGGGTTAAAGACTCAAGGTCAAAGGTGGTTCTTTTTCTATCCAGAGTATCTGCAAAGAGTTTTTTTAGCTGATTATTTGATTTCTGGGTTTGCTTGATAGCTCGTGTTGGTTTGTGACTTTGTATTTATGGAATCTTGGTTTTTTTGTGATTTATTAATCTTATGCCTGAGTGGTAGATAAATGACCTTGTATTATTGAACTAATGTGCAAATCTCTGTTCAAGTTTCCCATTCCTTTTGCTGCCCAACCATTCATTATTTTTTTTATACATGCAACAGTGAGTTTTCAGTCTATATACATATAGGTAATGTCATAAAATTTATTTTTCCCTCTTATAGGTAAATTTTACTGTAAACCTCATTTTACACACTGCAAAATCAGTACAAAACACAGAAAGAGAAGAGCAACATTGCCAATCCCAGGAAAGGTGGGTATTGATTCTATTGGTCACGCAGGAAGTGTTGAGGCAGAGTTCTGGAGCAGAGTTCAATACCTGTGTGTGTGTGTGGGGGGGATGTTTTCTACCTAATGGAAAAAGTAGTAAAATCGGTACTAAAATATAAACCTCCTGGTTCTGTGAGTTTGGCATATTTATAATCTGCTTCTTAATGGAATTTAACTTTTCCTATGCAAGGCAAAGTTAAGATCAATTGGACGTGGAAATATACATAAAGACTTGAAGGCATTAGCAGAATCTCTACTTACTTTAGAAGTGTATTTAACTTTTTTTTTTTTAATACTTTATGTAAGGAGGCAGCAGAAGCATGGAAGAAAATGGAACCTAAACCCCCAGAGACCACCACAGAAAGCACTTTGTCTGCTGCTAGCAGTCCAGAGGACAGGTCCCCAGGTATCCTGACTTCCTTCTTTAGGGGCGCGCTAAGCTGGCCCCTGCGGGTGACAAGGGATCTGCTTGACATTCCCAGACGCCTGTCTAACTGGATGCATGGTTTTCTGCACGCTACCAATCTTCATTTCAGGGACAATGCATATAACTATACCTACTTGTACGAACTCTTGAGCCTTGGTGTGCCACTCCTCTGTGCTCTTCTAGAGGTACTTACTCACATGTACCGGGAAGCAGAGCTATCACTTGAAAACGTGCTTGAATGGGTGAAAAGATTCTGTAGGGTTTGAATTCTTCGTGTCTTGCTCAGTTGTGCCTTTCAGATTTTCAAAATTAACAGCCTGACTGTTTTCTTGAGGGGGGTGGGGTTTGGTATTGGAGTTTTGTTTGGTTTTGGTTTTCTTTTTTTTTACTTTTCATGCAATTTAACGCATGACTTCAGTGAACGGTGGATTCCTTCTGATATAAACGAGGTACACAATCAAAATTTTCAATGTAAAATGTACTGTATGTTAGAGCATGAAGGACAGTGTCCAGACACATTTCCAGAAAATGGAGACAGATGAAGGATATTTTGTAGATTATTTTTTTCCCCCTGTTTTATTCTGTGATCAGACCATTGGGGAAGATGGTACATTTTGAAACCATTTTTCTCCCTGCCTACCAACCCCCCTGCTTCCTTTTTTCTTTTTTTTTTTTTTTTTTTAGTTAGACCAAGAAAGAACATGTGTTCTTTCAGATGTTTGGGGAATATTTCTAACAAGTGACTGGGTTTTGAAACCTGAATATGGCGCGTAGCTTTTTTTTTTCTTGCTTTCACCTTTGCTCTGGGTTATGAGGTTTATAACTTGCATGAATATGTTTTGAAAAAAACCATGTACATAATTCACATTGCTCCTAGTCATGCCTTTTACGTTGCTTACATGTGATAGATACCCTTTGTTGATAGTGGGTATTATCTGTTCTACTAATTTATTTAAAGTTTTTAAATAAATTTGAAGAGCAAATGTTGGGTGAGTGAAGGCTTGATTGAAATTTCGAAGTTGAAGGAACTGGTAGTGTAATTAGACCTGACTTATTCCTCAGACCGAGGCTTCCTCGTTAGGTGGCCGATATGAGGAATATGAATTTATGGAGCCCTCATCTGTAACTGAAATATCTACTGTTGTGCCTCTGGGTAGGCACTGCTCCCAGTGTCTGTTGGAATTTCTTAAAAACACAAGTTTAGAACAAACAACAAAAGCCTATAAATGTATTCTAAGGTTACATCTTAGCTGGGTGTTTAATTCATTTCAATGTGTACAACCAATGGCAGCCACTAAGTAAATTTCTTTCAGATGTCTCTGAATGAGGTCTACCTTAGACAGAAGGTGTGTGGACAGGTTAAATAATCCATTTAACAGCAAGGACACACTGGCATACCAATTCTGATTATTTTCAACCTAGTTAGCCAGTGAGGTAAGCATATTCCCTGCCTCTCAAATACTTACATGTTTAAATTTAGGAGTTGACCAAGAAATAGGTAAATACGTAAACGTGGCAATATGTGTAGCCTAAAATTAAAATCATCTGTAGTATTTATTTGTAGCCAAAAGAATGTGGCATAAACAGTAGGAAATACTGTCACATTCAGTTAGTACTGAAGTTGAGGATGACCCTTCCAATGGTCTCAAATGACTGTGCTTCTCATGGGCTGGCAGTTTTGATTTATTTTTTTTTTTTAATATAATGAGTGGGCAAAGATGATTTGAATTGTTTTGCCTCTTAGGTATTAAAAGGAAATGTGTCTTTTGTTTAAAATAAGTTACAAACTGGATTTTTCTTCTAGATAGTTTGACTTCCTTTAAACTATGAGGATAAACACTTTCACATTTTAGAGTGGTTGTGTATTATTGGAAAAAAATTAAGTATATGCAGAGAACTTGGCAAAGTGCTTGAAGAAAATCGTTATATATATGGTAGCATTCCTTTGAAATAAATTGCCATGAATGCTCAAACATGTATTCAGCCAAACTTTGCTAGAACATTGACTGGACACAGCAATAATTATAGCAACATGGTGGGCATCTGTATATATGTAAAGAAATCTATCTGTACCTTTTTTAATTGCATTTTAAAAACCCCTGCTTTGAAACACTGTATTATTTTTAATTGTTTGCTAATGGTAGTAATTGTTTCACCCTAAAAAGGAGAAAATCTGCAGTGCGATTTGTCACATTACTCCTGCGACACAGCAAACTGCTAAGTGGTAAAGTTTGAAAATTTGGGTTGCCATCAATTTTAATTTCAGTTTGTCAACAGCAGGAACACTTTTTCCTGAAGTTTTCTCCTGCTGTTTACCACAGGAAGTTTTCTGCTTTTTTAGCAGAGTGAGGATAATGGTAAACTTACAGAAAATGGTGATGTACTAAGAAACTTGGAAATCTCTGGCCAATAAACTTAAAGCAAATGAATCTTACTAGCAGACAGTTTAAAAATCAGATTTAAAAAAAAAAAAAATTAAAATATTCTGTTGGTTTTGTATAGATTTATATAATGGGAAATAAAATCCCTACATTTCCACAGTAGAATTCAGGAACTTGCATAATGCAAATGTTTTCCTGAGGAATCTTAATTACACTGCATATTCCACTGGGATTTTGCAGGTGATTCTATTGGAAGGGTTATTTTATTGTTATCAGTCTAATTGGTAGATTTTTTTTTCACTTCTTCATCTTAATATTCTGCTAGTAATATTCATACCTATTTGTCCTCATTCATAATTCAATGAAAAAAGGGCAGTTTCATTGTGGCCAATTCTTCTTTGTACCTATGTAATCTTCCTGATGCTTTCCTCTATAACCAAGTTAAGTTCTGTGTTTTCTTCCCTGCTCTCTTCTCTGTCAATGTCCCTCATTGCTTTTAGTCCGATTCAACATTCCGGTGCTGCACCCGCTCACTGGCTGAAGCCTTTCTGCTCCCAGGTGATTTTTTTTTTTTTTTTTCCTGCTTGCCAGTTCCAAAACTGTGTGACTAACACTGTCATTTGACAGCATTTTGTGTTTGGTTTTTTTTTTTTTAAAAAACTTTTGGAGCAAACTGTGTGTGTCTGGTATATTAATGGAGCTTTGGCATGATCATTTAACCTGTTGCTGAATTCGTGGTTCTAGAAAAGGCAGTGTCTGCACTCTTTGTAGGGAATGTTTTTCTCTCTGTCTGTGCATGTATGCTTCCCTATGCCTTTAAGGTAAGTTAGGCAAGTAAATAGCTTCTTGAAAGAACTAGTTAAAGCCTTATTTTTTTTTTTTTCAAAGAATTGAAGGAAAGATTTAAAATAAGGTCAGGATGGGATTACCCAGCTGATTCTCCTGGCTGGCATGAGCTCAGACGTGGAATGAGCAAGCAGCATCTGAGCACTGTGGTGCTGTCTGAGCACTTGTCTGCTTTCATACTGGAAAAGTATGGTATAAAAAGATTCTGTAAGAAAAAGGAGCCAAAGCAATGCAAATTCCAGTCTTCCACCCCAAGTGACATTGTAGACAGGCGTAATAGCAGTAAGTGTGCATGCAGTTCTCAGGCTGAAATATCACCATGCCAAGTTTATATAACCAAAGTGTTTTGGTTTGAGTTGTTTTATTAACTGATTAACTGGGCCCTGTTTTGGCACTCTGATGGATGGATTTGTCTTGCTGCACTACTCCCCATGACAGACTTACATGATTATTTTTATGTAATGAAATACTTACGTTTCAGTTTGTGTAATCACAAGTTGACAATCTTGAAGGGGAAATGAATCCAAGCAAGGACCAAGGGCTCAGTCTGACCAGCAAGTGCACAGGGTCTGGCTGATGTGGTCGTAACTCAGCTGTTTCTGCTGAGGATCCCTTTCAAAGGGAAGGACCTTCAAGAACTGATCTTAGGAGTAATTTTCAGGAGGGGCTGAACATCCTCTGCCATTCTCCCCATTTCACACGCTTTAGCCAGGAATGTGGAAGGGCCACAGGGTCAGAGCCCTGTGCTCCTTATCCTACTGACCTGTATGTTTGTGTGACTCACCTGATGGTATTTATTTGTGTGGGTATCCTAAAATGACTTGATGGCTCTGACAGTCCCCATGCTGTGCCCACGCAGAAACCTCTCTGTATTTTAAGGGTCACTTCCTGCACAGGTGGCTGGGATGTGACTTCCTATGTATTTCAGGGCTACAGTGTGTTGTTACAAAGCTCAGCATGCTTTAATATGAAGGTTGTGACATAATGGTCTGCCATTTCAAACCACTTCCTATTGCTGTGTTTTTTACTCTCTGTTGCAGAGTCTTCCTCGCTTTTCCTGCCCAGTGAGGATTCTGTCCTTCTCCTCCTAAACCTTCTGTCTTTATTTTACTTTATAATCTTAACTGAATATTTTTATTAAATAGTTTTTAATTCTGTATTTAAATTTTCACATGGAAACTCTGTATTTTGCACACGGTGAAAATTGTTTTAGCTTTATTTATGATATCTGCTGTAAACAAAAAATAAATGTAGTTCTTTATAAGTCTCCTTGTTTCATCTCTTCCTTATATAAAAATTTCTTGGGTACAGACTTAATAGTGACTTCATGCTGGTTTTGCAAACTCCTCTTCTGGTGGATGCTGTGGTGTTACCCTTCTTGTGGCCTGAGCCACAGGCCAGAGAGTTTCACTGTGGTGGTGTAATTGCGTTTGTGTCCCTTTTGAAAGGGATATACCTCAAGGTCCTTGACAAGTTATCCCATCCCTGCAGATCCAAGGTGCCTGGTGTTGGGATTTATCCTTCCTGGCAATGATAAGCTGGTGTTGGTGAGCATGGGGGTTGCTTGTGTTGCATACACAAATGGCACTTGTGTCCTCTTCTCTTTGACTTCTGTTACCTTTCCTCATGTTATTATGTTACATGTTAACATATGGCATAAAGGCAGTAAGTTAATGTGTTTGGGATTTCATATTGTGTTCAGGAAAAGCAGGTAATAACTCTGGATAAAGCTTTATCTTTGCTGCTCACTCT